ATTCTGAGTCCAATGGCTGCCACATTGCATTCCCAGTGCTTCGGGCTTCTTTAGAATAGCATCAGAGGGTGCTGTAGGTTGAGAAGTTAAGGAGTTGGCAGCCCTTCCCTGGATTCTGCTTTATTCAGAGCATCTCTGTGTTTACCTGCCTAGTACGCTGCACTCATGCATGGTCTCGTTAGAAATCAGGGATACCATTGCTATATACAAAATATGCAATAACTCTCGTTTCCTCTGCCCCTGCTTTCACAGAAAAAGAAACTAAGTCCCAGAGATCCTGTGGCTTCTCAAAACTCACAGGATGAGTCAGGGTTGGGAAACTTGAGGACTGGGTCCCCGGTCTTTGGATTCTAAAGTTAACACCTTTTGCCTGCAAACAGGTTATACCTCAAAATCTGAGCATCTTCTCTAAAATAATGTAATGTATCTTTTTTTTTTCCATGCCCTGAACACATTGTGCTAAAAGGAAAGAGCTGTGGGGAGTTCTCACACTTATATTTACTGAACACCTACCATGTGCCAGGCACTGTGCAAGTACTTTAGGTAGTTATTATCTACCAAAACCTTATCACCAGGTGGAAATTATTGTTTCTATGTTACAGATGAAGACGCTGAGGTTCAGATGGATAAGCAATTTCTTTAAGGACACATGGGCAGGTGATGGTGGAAATAGAATTTGAACTTTGGTTCACCTGATGTTACAGAGATAACAAAGTTTCAAAGTGCTTACCTCTTCATGGATCTTAGGCATAAGATCATTCAAATGATAAGATATGATACCAGTGACCATAGCCTCTGCCTGGTATTGAGTGCTTCCCTTGCGCCTGGTGCATGTTGAGTACTTTATTTGCAGGGCTACCAAGTATGGCTGTGCAGGGTGTGCACTGAAGAGCTTGCAGCCAAAGGGGCGAGTGAGAGCTGAACCTAGTCTTTAAGCTGTTTACCAGACCTGGAGGTAAGGTTGCATCTACCTGGAGGAAGAGGGTGCCTTTCTCTAATTGCTCTGCCTATGATGGCTGCCTTTCCTTAATTCTTACAAAGGTGCTCTGTGCAAGTTGCCACCTTCTTTACACATATGATCTAATCCTCTCACAGACCCCTGGGTAGATTTATTACTATGCCCATTTTAAAGATG